GCGACGAGGAGTCCCTCTACAGGTCCGGCATCCAAGTGAACCCACCGAAATGTAAGTGCCTCACCCGCGACACCGACCTGCAATCCTTGTACTGAGTATTTTTGTTGACCATTTCAATCATCGATCCCCGGTCGTCGACAATAACTTTTTCATTGGCTGGCGGCCATGACTCAAATAGCTTTGTGCACAAACGTTATCGGATCGTGTGATTTGAACCGCATAACAAATTGTTGACCGACACGTAATCCGGATTATTTTATATGGATTCCGATTCCATCCGGTTTTGGATTCGAACGTCACGCCGAATCCGAATTTTAGAACTTGATCTATATCCCCAGGCTCTATAAATGGACTATAATTCGATCTATATCCCTAGATTCTATAAATTAATTATAGTTTGATCTATATCCCCAGGATCTATAAATGGATTATAGTTTGATTTATATCGCTGCTGTTGATAGAATCAAATTAAATCCTAGTCTCAAGAATGTCAGGTGAATCCGGATTTAACAGCATTTCGTTCGATTCGGATACGGATCGATTCAAATTAAGTGTTCAACGGTGGTCAGAACTACTATAAACCTGAATGGTCACCCATCCAGGAAGTTACAACGCCGATTGATTATCCTTAATCGAAATCACACCATGCATAAGACTTATTATTATTCGTAGTCGTTAAATACATAATACGTGTTTGTTATAATGATTTACCTATAAATAGTTTTAACGCGCGTTCATGACAAACTTTAAAGTATATAGTCTAATGTATAAAATATATTATAATGAATTTCATTTTTATATCGAGCTTCCTGTAGTGAAACGAATAATCATAATTATTTTATTTATCATTTGTTTTAACGTTGTAAGAATTTTATAAGACCACTTACGGATTACCAATGAGTTTATAACATTTTTAAAATATTTAAAATCTAAAGCCATCAAACTTTTAATGCTTTAGTAAATCCGTATTTTAATCCCAGTCATAATTATAAAGTCTCAATATTTTGCTTGTATTATACATAGTTCTTATACACACATATTCTACATATACTCATATATATTTACTGTACGCATTCCTTTATACTTGAATATTTTAATTCATGCATCAAACGTGAGAAATCATTAAGTATCTTAGTCACACTTGTTAGTTAGTGAAACTCGAAGAAAAGTTATTATTAACAATCTTAGAATTCGGCAAATCACAAATTATCCATATTTTAAAAGTGTATACAGAATAGTGTGCACTATTGCTAATTTTCATCTTTTAAACCACTACTATTTTTTCAGCAACACGTTTTTCGCACTTTCTATTAAAAGTTGCTTCTTCTAAAACAGTATAGACTCTATAAAAATATAGTTTCATTTTAATCAGAAATTTACTATGTTTGAATACAAAAATAATATGTACTTCATATAACCGTCTCCTTCTACTAACCATACGGTATTTGTTTCGCAAGCATTAATAAAAATAGTAGTACACACGATATATAAAATATTCTTGATCGTATATTGTCTAGAGAATATAAAATACCGAGTAGAACTCAGTTTTATATTATTTATTACCTACTTATGTTTATTCGAAAAATAAGTCTATACGGTTTATGGTATTTATGGTCACTGTCAGACGAAACCCATTGCATTGCAAAAAGATACGTTTTGAGATATTATCGTACTACACGACAACAGACAACTAAACAATTTTTCACACGTAACTATGTTATGTTGTACTTTTAAGCGAACCGAAATATTTAAAATATACTCACTGACCAACGATCATTCCATTACGTCGTCAACCGAACTTTGTGGTGTTTTATATATTTTTTATCACCGATAACCCTGACCTATTTTAATTCAATGCACCTTTATATATCCCACCAACACGTTTTAATTCATTCGAACCGGATAGTATCTATTCGTTACCCCTCTATTTTGCCTTATCTGTTTATCGATTTTTCGCTCTCGTATTGAATCTTAATTAAATTTCAGCTTATGGCAATCTCGGTTCGATACTCAGCTCTCAAGGCAGAACAAACGAAGCGGAAATAGCATACCGATCTGCACTCAAACACCGGCCAAACATGGCTGAAGTACATTATAACCTGTGAGTAATAATATTGTGTTTTATAACTTTATATTTATTTAATATTTTACAATGTTGTGTATTTGTAAATTTTATTACGAGTATCGTAAAACGTGGAAATTTCCGTATTCCATATTATATTTGTTTTGTCCTCAATAAACACGGCTAATGCGATTTTCGAAACTCTATAAATAATATCGTTTACCACATACCTGTCAGTGCGTAAAAGAATAAAATAATTTTTTATTCTAAATTTTATATATATATAAATGCTATTGCCTTGTTTCAATCGTAAAATATGTTGCGTTATTTATCGGAGGGGGCGAGTTTCGTACCAAATGTGCCGTATAACAATCACAGTCTTTATTGAAGACCGTAAAAAAAATATCATTTCTCATTGTTCCTCATCTCCTTTTCGTCTACGAAACAAAACAATAAATTGAGATACGCTAGGAAAAACAATTTAATAACACACCCAAGAAGCTTATGGCTGTCCGAAAGTTGATGGCTTTTATACGCCTACTTTTGGTGAACGAGTGATATATTTTTCTTTTCTTTTTTTCTGTTTCATCTAAAAAGAATGAAATGTCATGTTACTCACATAATGAAACTCAAGAGTAAAAAAAAATGCAATAAAAACCACATTGTTCAGTAGTTTAGCAGAATAGAATGACATGTGGTTTAGAACATTACAAGTGAAACGATCAAGTTTCTTTTGATTTGTCTTGATTACTTTCAACTCAATACATTTTTTTTTTTTTTTTATCAAAATCTAAATGTTATTAGATAAAAAATCTATAAATTATTCGTTGTTTTTTTTTTAAATATTTATTTCTTTGAATTTCAACGTAAATTATTCAATTTATTTCAAATTTTCTTTTAAAATTATTACTTATTTAAAATCATTTTCAGAACCCTTATACTAAAATAATTCCATTTTATATAATTTATAAATTACAACTAATGTTATTAATATTAATATTAAAAATACATTTTCTGTTGGTCGTATTCGGTGCATAACAATTTAAGACGAAATAATTTTGTTTTGGTAGAGTTCTTTAAATAACATTTTCCCATAAATATTATGCAACTAATTTTCCTCGAAATCTAATAGTTTTCTTAAATTTACTTAGTTTATTATCAAATGAACTAAATTAAATAAATTAAAATAATAATAACTAAACTAAATTGATATATTTATTTAGTGTAACATATTTATCAATAATATTAAGTATGATACACTTACAATGTTGATTAAAAAATATATGTTATATTTGTTTTTGAAAACTGTTGGAAACTGTTGTTTAAAATCATTGTTTCCAAAAATTAAAATTCGGGTACTACTATAATAATATTCAATAATTTCAAACATTCATGATGTTTCATAAACATATTACATATGTATTACTTAAGATACTAAGAGTAACAATACACATGTTATGTATATAGAAAACTAATATATATTATAGAGGAAAAAGTGAAAGAGAAATAAAAATAGAATAATGTACAGTTACACAAAGTAGTAGTAAGAAAAATATTTTTCAGAATTAAACAGATTTATTACATTTATAAAATAAAAAATATTTAATATTGCATGAAGAATTTTAAATGAGTTAAAAAAAATAAATATTTTTTCTCCTACTAATCGTGAGTATTATATTCCAAGTCCAATAATAACTGTAGTTCTGAATACTATGAGCAATATAATATTCAGGAGTTTATTTATAAAATTAAAAGTAATAAGTATAATTTGAAATAATTTATCAGTTGTTTTAACAAAACCTTTTAGTTATTACATCATATAATTTGATCAGAATCTAACGAAAAATTCATCCAAGGCTTGTATATTTTTCCTGATTTCAGTTAATTTTTATTCTTTGTAATATATTCTATAGTGCTTAGGTACCTAATTTTATCATTAATCTAAACGGTTCGATTTAATCCAAAAAGTAATTTTTTCAGTAATTAGTGTATCGATTTACGGTATTGTAATTTACGACAAACTCTACTTTTTGTATTATGATATGTACCACAAGTAAGAGGTTTAAGATATTATTTTAGCTCAAATTTATCGTATCAATATATATTGGATATTTACTTGAGGTTCTAAAGGCAATTAAAACTTACTTTGTATACTCGAAGATATAATAGCATTTACAATTATTTTATGTAAATCGTTTTCCGGTGTGAAATAGCACTTTGTGATTTAGTATAGAAACAAAATCATGGTTGTAAAAGTTTACAAACTTTCTCTATTAATGTTATTGCTTACGTGAAACATCTTACAATAGAATACAACTCTTAAAAACGAATATTTTTTTCATTTTCTACAAGTTAACCAAACTGGTTAGTGTAAAATGTAAAAAATAAACAGTAGTCAATAATGCATGACCATACGACGAATTTTTTGTAACTAAAATACATAATTGCATATAACAAAAGCATCGTATCTGAGTTAGTATTTTTTTAGTAGTCTGAAAACTACATTAAAAAATAAAATTCCAGCTTGAAAAACTGAAAAACTAATTGTTTTAAGAGCTTAAAAATTAGTAAAATCCAGCATTATAGTTAAGAATTTTAAATTCAAAATATAGGACTGAAAAGATGACTGACACTTAATATAAAATATAAGTATTTCAAAACTAATAAAATTATGATTAACAAATTTCTTGAAAATAAAAAAATAAAAAAGAGCTTTAAACATGTATAAATAGATAACAATAGGGAAGTAATATAAACTGAAGTGAATAATGCGGATGAGTTTTTAAAAACTAATATAATATAAAGTAATTAAATTAAAAACTATAGGTATACAAAGTTTAAAATAACATTAAATATTGTTTACTAATACAAATTTATGTAAATTAAATTAGGATATGTTAAAAAAAATATTTTTTATTTATGAATCTATGTTAATTAAATATTATAATAAATTATAATTCAAAAGTTTAATTTTATCAAGACCAATATCATCAATAAAGTTAAAATTTGAACGATAAACATTAACAATTTAAAAAAAATATATACTTAATTATTTATAAAATTATATATTGAAAAATACATATTTTGAGTCACAATAAATAAATAAATATAATTGCTAAATGAATATCACCTACTTTAATTTTTCGGAGGAATTGATTAGTTTTTTTCTGACAAAAAACATTTTTTGTGAGAAGCTATGTATGAACCTAAGCAGAGAATACATTTTATGGAATCAAACAGTGATTTATTGCATTCCCTAGAATAATTGTCTTACTCATATTTTACACAGTATAGGGGAAATTTGTTTGTTTGTCGCAAAATTTGTGTTACAGTACCTATAATTGATAATTGGTGTCTAAAAGAAGTGTAACAGTTTCTTTTGTGATGTGCATTTAAAATAATTTGCTAATATTAGATAATTTTAAATGAAGTATATTCATAAATTCCCTTTTTATTTTTTAGACAAGAAATTCCATTTAAATACTTGATCGATTTACCGATATTTTTCGTTTCACCAAGTTTAATCAGAACATATTTAAAATGTTTTCTTTGCTTCAAGCAAAGGTTCAACCAGGATAAATTCGAATATTATAATTTACCCATAGATAGAATTGAATTGCATATTTAGGAGTTATGGAAACAGAAAATACTTTTTTAATTTAAAAATATTCGATTTCAAACACATATCATAAACCTTAGATTTTTAAACAAGTTTTAAAGAACAACGTATAAGCATGGGACAGATTGATGGAAGCAGAATGATTGTAAAATAAATTTAATAAACTGTCAAGTTTGTCATTAGAATTATATAGACATTATTCCAAAGTAATTAGAAGTTTGCAAAATATTATAAAATACGATCAAATAAAATTATGGTAAATAAAGTTGTTAGCAATGAGTTACATTTCATTGTCCACATATGTTATTAATAATGAATACAATTATGATTTGATCATTTGCTTCTATGTTTAGTATAAAATAATGAACTCGAAAAATTACATAAAAACTAGTAGCCGATGTAGTGATAGTTGTAATTTTTCCAATAAGTTGAAAAAAATATTATATGATAATGTAACGCATGAAAAAACGTGTCCGACCCCTAAAGACTATAGGTGGTAATATTATACCACAATTAATTTATGAGTATTCTAATACATTATTATTTCACCATCATAATTATAGCGGTCTTAAGCATGAGATATTGATGATACGTTCTCTATAAATAGATTCGATTTCAACTAATAATAACGATGGTCACGAGTGTGCAATTATTCCGAAAACTCAAACAATACGCAATACGGCGGTGACCATACGGATCAAAGAGCCCATTGTGCGGGCCGCATACACTCGTAATTCGTCCGTGGCTGCGGTCGGAAAATCGCCAATTTCGCACTTGAACTACGTTAGGGAAAGCCAATATTCGCGTTAGTTCTCCAAATCGCTTTCCACTATAGATCGTAGAGTATTAAACTCCGAAAGGGATTTCATTCTCACACAATAGCTGATAGAGTGTCGTTATAATAGTGTCGTTCGGTCAACGCGCGTTGCTCTCTCTTTCTCTATCTCCCTCTCTCTCACTCACTCTCACTCTCTTTCTATCTATATCTGTCTACTGCCAATGAACACCCTGTCCCTCAGTCCTTTCAGGAAAGGGCGAAAAGTGAAAACAGCCGAAGCGTTAATAAATTTCGTATCACTAAAACTTCAAACCGAACCGAGCCGGAAAAATCCCAAGACCATAGCCGATCGATTAATAGAATAGAAAACTATAATACACACCTCTATGCAGTCATGTGAATACTGCAAGTCATTTGTGTGTAGCGCAATTCTTGGTCGCACGCAGCGTATCACGGCAATGTAAAAGATGTCGAAAGAAACCTATAACCACAGATAAATTCACCGATTTGTAACAAATGCCGGACGGGTTTCCTTTGTTTAGTATATGTTCACTACTGTATGTATATAAATACACCATTCTTGTACGTGTATAGTGATCGAGAAAGCAATATGTGAAAAAGAATCGTTTATGGCCGACAGTT